AGTAATCATGCAGCACCAGCAGTACCATGTCAGGCGAGTAGCCAGGCTAAAACAATTTTGCTATATATAATTAGTGCCTTGCTGGTTATTGTCATGATAATTAAGATCATTTTAGTTAACGTCAGGCTAATCAAGGCCACGCTGATAAGCTAGGTTGGCCACAAGCTCCACTGCTAGCCTTGCACGTCTAGTGCTAACTTTTGCAGCGTTTAGTCGAAGATTTTTAGGAGTTACAGATTTACAAGTGCACGATAGGTAAAATTATGATGATTAGAACAGTTGTGATTCATGCCATGCAAATAACTCCATGCTAATAAGCTAATTCATTGATCGATATGTGGGCTTTAACGTCCCAAAACCATCATATGATTTTGAGAGACGTCGTATAGTGGAGGGCTCCGGAAATTTCGACCACCTGGGGTTCTTTAACGTGCACCCAAATCTGAGCACACGGGCCTACAACATTTCCGCCTCTATCGGGAATGCAGCCGTCGCCGCCGGGATAAGAATCCGCGACTTGTTGGCCAGCAGCCGAGTACCTTAGCCACTAGACCACCGCGGCGGGGCATGCTAATAAGGTATAGGCCGGCCGCGAGCTCCACTGATAGTCAATGGAGCATTGCACATCTAGTGCAAGCTGTATTTCTGCGCTTTAGTCGTTGCTCGGTACGAGTTACATATTGGGGTACTCGTTAATTAAGGTAATTTAAATAATATAACGCTAATTAAGGTAATGATAGTAATCTCCAGGATTCACTGCTAGTTGTGCAGCCTTGCACATACAGTACAAGCTGTATCTCTGCGTTCTTATTATCGGGTGGACGCTCCCTGGATTCCGTGCCGATCGGTTGTGCGCCCGCGCGCTCCGGGCGCTCGCGACCTTCGGCGTCATCGTAGCTCTGGCCGACTGGGCTCGTCCTACGTCATCTCCTGTCGCCGACGACCTTCGACGACAGCGCAGCTCTGATTTACTGGTCCTGCTCTACGCCATCTACAGACGCCGACACCATCTCTCGCAAGTGTACCCCGTCCTCGGACTCCAGAGACCGTTCTTCCATCTTTCCTGTCTCTCCTATCCCCTCAGTTTGTTGTTGCTTCTTCTTCCTCTTTCCTATACCTTTACTTCTACCCTTTTATCCCTCCTTACCCCCATCCCTTTGTGAGCTCTGTGGCGGTGTCGCTCACTGAAGCAGACAATAACGGGGCTCACTTTTCTCTTCCTTTCTCTTAAGAACCACTTCATTATCGAGGTTACCCGTAGTTTCACGTTGCTACGTTTCACTATTGCCTGAACGCACGACTTCATGTTCGGCACCATCATGACATCATACATGACGTCATTAGTCACGGCACGTGACTTTGCCGCCCATGTAACGGTGACCGGAAGTTCCGCTATTTCACTTTTAAGGCTATGTATGACCAACACTCCATGGGAAAGTGCAAAGAAAACTTTTTATTTCGCAGAAAAAAATTGTCTACAAACGGTAAAAAAAAATGCGATGGCAGAAAAAAATCACAAACACGCAGAAAAAACGTCACTTGGCGCAATAGACAGTGCGACTTCAATACGATATGAACAAAACGCGATCAAAGCATTCGTCGAAAGCAGCAGGAAACAAATCGGGAAGTCGTAATGTCACTGGAAAAATTGAAAGAAAAAAAAAGATGCTCGCAGGCGTTCCTTCTTGAAGAACTCGCACGCGTCTTGGTCCGTGTTGGTTATTTTGGGCATGCTTAGAAGAAATATGGACAATCGAAATGTATTTCCTGCAAGCCAACACGTCAGTGGTGGAGGACGTCTCAGTGAACCAGAAATGTCCATTAGACATCCGTATCCATATATGTCTAGATATCCGTAACGTACTATTTATATCTAACGGCTAATGGACATTCGTGCTCTGTTCGGACATCATGCGAGCTAAAGTCAATTTTAACAGCCCCGTGTGTAAGCATTCGAGAACATTCGCAAAACAACCACACAGTCACGCGAGCATGAATAATACAGAGAAGGCACTTTTTTTTTTCAGATTGCATGAGTGTAGAAAAAAAAATATTTACGGCAGGCACCCTCGATTCTCTCAATTTTATTACAAACTCACAGCCACACGTCTCACATTCTCCACTGAAGCATCCATATAAGGCACTTGATTCAATTTCATTCCCATTTAATTCACATTTAATTAGCTTTAATTCGCATTTGATTCATACTTTTAAAAAATTCGAGAGGCAATGTACAAGGTTGTTTAATGAAAACGAAGCAGTTCGCTAAAAAAAAAAGTCAGCCAGTCCAGTATAGCTTTTTTCAGCAATTCATTGATGTGGACATTGGGCATTGCACGGTAAGCACCGATCAGTATCACATCTATGCAGATACTTTATCACTAAGCTTTATAATTTCGTAACTAGCACTACACCGCCAGTATTGGGAACTGAAATGAGTACTCAGTGTCTGGATGCTATAAATTGGCGAGAATTTCCTCACCAATACAGTCTTACAAACATGATCTCGTTTGTAAGTGCGCTCATTTCGCAAATTACCGGCAGGCACAAGCCTTAAACAGCGTTGTTTTGCGTGTGCGATTATAATGTGCACCGGAAGATTCGATAACTGTGGAGGACTGATACAGAATTGAACGACAGTCGTCATAAGCATAACCATGAAAGGCATAAAGACTACACAACGGTTTAGCAACAATGGCCAAGGGTGGGCACAGTTACGGGGTCGTGAAGGCATGCATACACGGTGCCTAGGGCTGACGTCTATCGTATATCGGTTTAAAAAATTTCGTATCGTCGGCGATAATCTAGCGGAAATATCCTAAACTATGCAGTCTGCGCGTCTAACTTCCTTACTTGCAGCGCAGATAATTTATTTTCAATAAACGTATGAAAATTTACACTTGTATTAGTTGCAGTGCTAAGAGGGCGTAGTTTCGGAATAAGCGCTCTCTGGAACAATAGTCCAATAAATCGGCAATCGAAGCGCCATTTTCACTGAAAAAGCACTCCTTACTTCACATAGCGCGTGATGTAGCCATGCGTGAAGTGCCAATGCTCTGTTTGAAAATTGTTTTGGGGGCTAATATCTTTAACTTGGTAGTTGTACTCGACAACTTCAAGCGGGCATTTTGATGCGTGCTCGAGTGAGTAAATTTAAAAATTACGGTCATAAATTTGGGTTGTTGAAGCTGTACGGTGGTTATCGCACGATGACCGGTGCCCACAGCCAAGCGAATGCTGCAAAAAACATGCTTACACGATCACGATTCTTTGAACAACTACACATAAGGTGCCTGGTTAAGAGAAACACAGGCATAATAACATTTTTTTTTTCACGTATCTCCGCTTGAGACGCAAGCGTTTCTTTCTATGCGTCTTTGAATGCCAAGAAAACACCACTATGATTCCCCTTAAGTCACATTTATATACACTGAGAGGATATTGAGGCACCGGAAACGCATGGTAGTCTAAACAGTCCTCGAACTCTCAACTATATACGCAACGACTCCACAACATTCGTAGCATTCGCACAACCATTGGATTATGAGTCACCAGGTCACTAGTACATTCATGAAGATTGGCAATCGAAGCCTTCATAACGCCTTTAATTTTTTGTTTTGTTTTTTACGTTATCGTTACGATTAAAACTCGGCAACACTTCGTGATCATACTGGGGTCATGCTGAGGCAAGTTTTAACCGAAATAAGGTTTGCCTGGGGACGGATGATTGTTGTTGAAACATTAATTTTGTTCGTGTTACGATTGTTTAGTGTTCAGTTGACGTCATGTACGATTTATGTGACACGCCGCTAGGGGCGCCTGTCGTCTGCTACTTAGGACAAGAACGCATTTGCAGCTGATGCAAGCATTACTATTTTACCCACGTGTAGATCAGCTTCCTATTAATTCTTTTTCTACAGATAAAGCTCAAGTAAGATTGTTCCGGTGGTAGCCTTTGATTACATAAAGATATCATGAGGCATAATACACTTTGTGTTATGTTCCTTGCGACAGCTGCCTCGACAAGGGCAAATTGAAGATGATATGGAATACCCGGTTCAAAGCGAATGCACTGTCTGGTGAAGAAACTATGCATCTCCAGTGGAACGCAGTACAGGAGTAGTGATACCTCATGTTTTTACCAAGTGGAATTATGTTCTCGACACAGTCGAAATCGGGTGCGTCGGTTATCATGAACGGGCCAAGCAGAAATGTCAGTATGGTGGATTGCAAGGAACAGAAAACGGTAAATACACGGGAAATAATGTGTTCTAAGACAGTGCACGACGACACTGAATGCAAATAGAGCATGCTCTATAAATAAAAAAAAACGAGTTTAGGTAATTCATACCCATTTATCTATAGCTGAGTGCACCGCCGAGTGAGGCAATCTGTAGCCTTCGGAGTGCGTAAATTGCTGACCCTGTTGCGAGCAAGAAACCTCCACAAACCACATTAAAGCGCACCAATGTTCAAATGGCAGTAAAAGTTACCAGAGGGTGCTGTTGCATGGACAGATATAATGCATGATGCCGTACAGTGTAAGCAAAGAAGCTCTCTGATTTGAGAATGAATATCCAAAGGCTTGATTTGAAAAAAAAAGCTCAATATTCATATTGGCTCTGACTTGTTCAGTTATTGCTGTTTGTCTAACTCTCATCCCACCTTTTGATTAGAATAATGTGATCGTAATTAAATGTTAATGCAGCTTTCAACGTCTTTCTTGAGGTCGGTGGTGTTTCCTAGTCCCACCGTTCCAACAACGGAAGCCCGTGACGTCACTTTTTCGTGTGCAGCACGACCGCACACGCAAGCTTCCGTAGACGATCAAGTCACCCAGGTGGCGCCACCGTCGTTAGCGCATTATCTACGTCAGCGCCGGGTCGATGACGTCATATCGCGGCGCGCGCCGATTCGCCTTTTTTTTTTCTAGAGACATTCGCTTTTCCGGGTGTGAGGAAAACACACTTTCACTCATAAAGCATCAACAAAATGAAAGATAACACACGCACACGCACATGCTCGCACTGCAAATATGTTTTCACTGCGGTCCGATCGTGTCGCTACCGAGGGCCCGATGATGACGTCATGAAGGGCCACCTGGCAGTGAACCAGTCCAGTTGTTCACGTCACGACGTGCACGGATGAGTCCGAGACGCTCAGGGCGGAAATCACTAGTGACGCGCGTTGCCGCGTCGTCGTTTTCTTTTTCGTTTCTTCTTCTTCTTTTTTATTTTCGTGCTTGGATCTGTTATATCCGGAAGTAGTGGGGCGGGGTCTTGATGACGACGCGTCGGCGGGGCTTGCCATTGGCCAAGAACTTGAGCGGCAGGAAGATCATCTTGGACGTCTGGTAGAGCGACTGTTTCCGGTAGGGCTTCGCGTAGGACGGCTTTCGGATGCCTTTCACCACCTGCGCCAGGAACAAAAAAAAAAAAGAAAAAAAAGACATTAGCGCGACACGTTTCACAACTGTAGCTTGTTATTAACGCAGATGTCTCAGATGCCTTCATCAAACACGAAAAGCGACCGTCTGCGTCAACGCGGATGATAAGGCAGTCATCATTACGTGTATGTTGGCATCACCCTATACGACGACGTCGGCATCGCGTCATTCATTGGCGTACGTAGCTGGTGGCATTGTCTTGGGCGAGTGCTTCACCCTTCCCTTGCGCCGCAGTTCTTACATTTCGTACATGTATATCTATATGCACACACATGCATGCAAGTACAAGCACGGACATACATGCAAGTACAAGCGCAGACATACATAAATGGAGAGAAGAAACAGACCCTAGGTGAGAAAATGTTTCTGGCCGCGCCCGTGCAAGATTCAGACAAAATAGCGCGACCTTAACGCACTACTGTGCATTTTACATTGATTATCGTTTTACGCCCCAATTTGTGTGTTGTCCGCCTCGGTGGAACAGGGGCTAGAGTGCTCGGCTGCCGACTCGAGGGTCGCGGCTTCAATCCCAATTGCGGCGGTCGCATTTCGATGGAGGTAAAGTGGTAGAGGCCCGTGCACATGTACAGTCGAGTGCATAACTTTAGAGACCCCGGGAGCGCGTGCCGAGGCGCGTCGCTGCGCCTTCTGGCGGCTGCGCGGCTCTGTCCGGGAGCGCGTACTGCGCACGCTCGTCCCATATCACTCGGCAGCCTGTCGTTTCGCTCGCTTCAACGACACGCATCTCGAAACGATGCGGACGGTGCAAGGTGTCACTTCTGTAGTCGCTGTGAAGACAAAGCCGAGCGCTAATGTGACGACAGCACATCGTTTGCGGGTTTCGGCGAGCTTGCACAGTGACTGCAGAGGTGGCACCTGGTGCCGTCCGCATCGTTTCGAGATGTGCGCCGTTGAAACGAGCGAAAGGGCAGGCTGTTGAGTGATATGGGACGAGCGTGCGCAGTACGCGCTCCCGGACAGAGCCGCGCAGCCGCCAGAAGACGCAGCGACGCGCCTCGGCACGCGCTCCCGGGGTCTCTAAAATTATGCACTCGACTGTACATGTGCACGGGCCTCTACCAGATTCGTTTTACCCCAAAACACGGCTTCCGGAAAATGGTGTCCTCGATGCTGCAGCGCAAGAAACCGTGGCCCAAGAATATCTCGATTCACATTGTATCAAGTGAGTTCGCACCAAGGAGGATTAAAAAAAAATTGCTGGAGTGGAAATGATTGCGCAGAAGCGAAGCCATTCCTCTGGCAATATGGCGGTTGTAGCGGCCATCTTACAAGGGGCATGATAAAGCATCACCGTTCAGCGATTAAAAACGAAGCGTTTCCCTCGAAAGCCCAACGAGTTTAATGTGGGGACTTTTTCGGGTCACATAGTGCTCCAAGTGCGTTTTACAGTTACTAGTTTTCCTTAGTGAGCCTGTTATTGGAGGCAAAGTTCTTTGAAGATTGAGTTAACCACACTCGTTTCTGCATGTTATTTCGTCGGGAACAACTATTTCGGCGATGACGATGATAGCGTTTGACACATTCCACGCGTAAAAAAAGGCACGCGAATTCAGTCGTTGAGGCATCCTTGTGCGCAGAGTGTGGCCACGGCTCGTTGGTCCTAACTCACCCTGAAGGACGGAAATTACCTTGTCAGAGTGAAGAACCGGGCGCGTCGGTAGTGCGCGATTCGAAACAGGAGGCGCAGAGTAGACGACGACGGACGAAAAAGGCGCCATGCACTTCTAAGAATCACGAAAATTACCAGAGACAAGAAAAATAAACGCTTTCGGCTCCAGGATCCGGCAGCGCGCACTCGTGTGAGATACTCAACGCCAACGACCGGAGATTCGAAAGCAATCGTCTAACAGTGGGCAGGCGTCATGCAACTGGTACTTCCCGGAGACGAGCTGATTTCTCGGGAGGACTGTGAATCATGGCTATGTATGGCTGTATACATGACTCTATTACATCGCCATTTCGTTTTGTAGCGACACGCTTGCTTGCTTGGACGAATAAAATAAAAGACGCAAGAAACGTGTCTTTATGAACGGTTGGTAAGGCACGCAAAACGTGGACTGCATTGTCGTGTCGCGAGGGAAAGAAAAATAGAGCGAGATGAATGGCGGCGTTCTTGTGCCGTCTTGTTCTCCTGCGCCCAGAGGTCGCGGGTTCGACTCCGGCGGTCGCATTTCGATGGAGGCCCGTGTACTGTGTGACGTCAGCGCACGTTAAGAAGACCAGGTGATGATGATGGTGATGATGATTATTAAAGCTTTATTTTGGTCCAGAGAAGACGTAGGGGAGATCATATATACGCCTCCCGGCTAATGAAACGGCCGACATTTCCGGAGCCCTCCACTACAAGGTGTTTCACTCTCACAATCATGTTGTGGTTTTTGGGACGTTTAACCCTGGTTACTATGTTATATAGTACCCGCATTGGCACGCTTTACCTTTTTCTACAACCAACCCGGACCAGCTAGCTGATCCACCGTGACGGACTGAGCCACCCTGCCGCATTTCTATCTCTTGATATTACGCCGGTCGTTCTTCGCAGCGTCTATAGTGCATCCCGAAATCCGTCTCTCAAGGCTGCTATAGTTTAACTCGAAGCCGCTAAACTATGAAACAACCAATCGAGTATCGATCTACACGATTGCGCATCGAGTCTTTCGATGTTTTCGTCCTGCCGTACACTGGCACGAATACCTTCTGGTATATTGAGCTCCTGCAGCCTGTCTTTCTCTTCTCTATCGTATATAACCGATACAGTTCGCGAGACGGCACAAATTCGGCGTTGACGGGCCGAGCAGATGGGGGTGGGGGGGTCGATAATAATGGCACACCGGCGCGCGCAGACAGTCGATCGTTTGAAGAAGAAGGACACGCCTGAAAGACGCGAAAAGGGGTAGTTTAGAAGGACTCGCCCGGCGATGACGTGGATAGCCTTCCACCGCCCCGGATGAAGACAGAGATATCGCACCGGCCGAGCATTCATACGAATGCCGACGGGTGTTTTTTTTTTGTTACTACACACATCAATGTGTGTTTTCATTTTTCCTCTTCTCAGAGATGTATGGCGAGGAGGTAGAAGGCATCTGACCTGAAACGCAGGCTTAGTGGATCGAAGGAAGGACGTGCGCTGCAATCTGCAGAGCCGGCTGGACGGATGTACGTACCACTGACCACCCCGGTGTTTGTTGAAGCTGTGTATTGCGAAGTGGCTCGTGCGATTACTCGATAGTTGACGAACTCCGGAACTTTATGGGTTTGGCGAGCCGGTACGACCTTTCCTGTTAAAGGAGTCCTTGTGCTTCGTTTGGTAATTTTTGTTTTTCAGTGATTCCTTGTAGTAAACGAAGATGGTACGGGACATCGAGACCGCGCAGAAACAAATTGCGAGCTTGCGCGTTTCAATGGTCCCCGAGCGCAGAAGAAGAAGAAGAAGAAGAAGAAGAAGAAGAAGAAGAAGAAGAAGAAGAAGAAGAAGAAGAAGAAGAAGAAGAAGAAGAAGGAGGAGGAGGAGGAGGAGGAGGAGGAGGAAAGAATTGAGAAGTAAAACCTATTTGCGTATCGAATCATGGGCATTCGTGGAACAACAACTTACGTGGTTAACGGGGATCTTGAAAGCTATTTTATGACGCCCCTCTGAACTCTACGGCAGAGAGCTGTCGCGGCCGAGGTCTGCCGTTGCGTCGTCACATACATTGAAAATGATCGTCATCGACCGGCACGTGCTCTCTTCGTCCCAATATTCATGGCCTTGCTCTTTAGCTTCGCCCCCACGAGACGTGGCCGATGCGTCTCGGCGTGGAATGCAATAACTCTGATGGGCGAGGCAACGAGTACAGCGAGAGAAAAGGGGAAGAGAGAGAGGAAGAAATTCTTCGCGTGAGAAGTTCTTGGAGAGGCGTTACTCGCGAAGCCGCGTGCATACGATCCGAAGGCGAGCGCCGGTAACAACTCGGCTGTCCAGACTATGCTAGCACGGTGTAGTATAGCCTTGTATAGTATAGGAAGGGAGTAGCTTGGCGTAGCATAGCCTTGTATAGTATAGTATCGGAAGGGAATAGCTTGGCGTAGCATAGCCTTGTATAGTATAGTACCGGAAGGGAATAGCTTGGCGTAGCATAGCCTTGTATAGTACAGTATCGGAAGGGAATAGCTTGGCGTAGCATAGCCTTGTATAGTATAGTATCGAAGAGAGTGGGGAGTGGATGCAGGGATTAGGAGGAGGAAAAATGGGATGGAAGACCGAGTACAGAGAGAATGAGAGAGGGAAAGGAAGAAATAGTGAGAAAGAGAGATAACTTGATAGCAAAAGAAGAATGAAAGCGAGTAAAATATAGCAGGCGACAGAACGGCTGCAGAGAAGGAGAGTTAGAAATGTATATAAGCTAAAAAAAAACACTGAAAAAAAGAGCACGTGCGGCCATGTACAGTATAGTACAGCATGGGTTGGGAAAGAGAGAGGTAACAGGGTAAGAGCCTGGCCAATACAGAATCTGCTAAGCTCTGCTGGGACCAGGCCCATAGCCAGGAATTTTTTTGCAGGGGGGGGGGGGAGGAGCCCATTTTTTAAAACTTTGACTATTTTAGAAGAAAAAAAAAGAACACCTGTGCTCATAACGAATTTTCGGTAACACAACCCCCTTCATCAGGATTTCGGAGCGTGGGGTCTGGGCCCCACCCTCTCTGTTGGCTACAGGCCTGGCTGTGGCTCAGCGTTGTGCAACGTAGCGAGAGCTGTCCAAGTTTTTATGATGTTTTGTAAATCAATCAATCAATAATCAATCAATCAGTGGAGAACTACAGCATTGGGAACATAATGCACGGCCGGGCCAAAAAACTCGGACAAGGAAGAGATGCACGCAGGACGAGAAAGAGACTGATTCGATTCTCCCAGTTGCAACATAATTTTTTTTCATTACATTCATTTATGGTGCTTAGCGCACGCTCGTGGC